ATGAGTTTAATACATTAAATTATCTAATCAATAATTTGATTATTATGCCAGTCTCTTACGAATCGAGGGGTGAGTTTGAAATTTAGACCATATAATAAAATTCGATAAATTAGTATAACGTGTAGAGATACATATACTAATTATTGCGGTTATAATATGAATTCATAGAACTAGTGTTTCGTTTAATTGAAGTTGATTCACAAAGAGATATGGAATTTAATTAATTAAATAAGTTCAATAAGAACTCGAGAGGGATAAAATGAATACAATAGAAAAATTCGATCGAACACTACATTAGTTTATGAATCTTGAATTAAGAATAAAGATGATCAATAGATGAAATTGTTATGCCCTAATATGTTCATAACATATTTGAATTTTCAATNTTTTCAATTAGTTAAAAGTAGTTATGAAAAATAATCACAACCATCATAATTATTTACTTTCGTTTCTCAAATACGAGTTAGAAAAATTAGATAAAATCCTCAAGTATAGTCTTCGTGGGAACGATATCTGGACTAAAGGATCTACCATACTGCTTGTTACGATATCGTACACTTACGATATAAAAAACGCAACAAGCATTTGGCGCCGTTGTCGGGGAATATTTACTTTTAGTATTAGTTTATTTTATTTTTAATTATTATTTGATTTGATTTGATTTTACTTTCTTTTATTAAAAAGAAAAAAAGAGTGTTCATTATATGCTCCATATTCAAGGCAACGATCTTCAACCGTTTGACTCGGAAATAGAACGTACTTTCAAATGAAGACGCAAGGAACAAACAAAAACAACAACATCAAATAGCTGATGGTCAAAATATTCATATTCCTATTCAACCAATTGGACAAGTGACCAGAAGAGTAGTCGTGCTACCGAATCAGCAACAGGAGTGAGGGAAAATAAACGAAGGAGACTTGGCAGTTTCAATGTTCTTTCCCTCATTGACGCGCTTGCGCATTCCAGTATTGTATATCTAGATTTTGAGGTGAATAATTTTTAGATAAGGGCATAATGGATCAATTTGATGAGCAAATCTATTCAATTTTACGGGCTACCTCATGAAAATCTGAACACACATATCTCTAGATTTATCAGAAATTGTCAGAACTTCCATACTTCGGGGGTTAATGAAGACGCTATTAAGTTACGATTATTTTCATATACATTGAGAGTGTTGCATTGGAGTGGTTAGACGCCGAACTTCATGGAAGCATTACTACACGGGAAGAAGTGATCAAAAAATTCTTCCCCCTATAAAAGTACTTAAAATCAGATTGGAAATTCAAAATTTCCAACAGAAAGATGGAGAGAGCTATCACGATACATGAAACAGATTCAAAGAGCCGATGTGAAAGTGTCCAAATTATGGAATCACAATAAGTAATCAAGTGCGGTACTTCTACACCGGACTCTCACCACTGTCAAAATCTCAGGTGGATTCCTCTACTAGTGGATCGATCATAGGAA